GTTTAGACTGTTAAATGACCGCGAAGAATTCGTAACTCCTTCATACGGACTCGTTTTCGTCTGTCTTTTTACCGTTGAGTTCCTATTAATGAGATCTTCAACTCTCATTTAGGTCGCATAAGCCAAAAACCGCTCGAACTAAAATTCGAGTTTCGGGCTGTACACTGCTAAGCCGAATCTTAGAAAAATCATAACTTCTTCATACGAAGTCAGATTTGGGCGTTCTTTTTATGGATTTTCTCGGTTTAACATATTCTACGACTTTCGTTTAGATCACTAAGGCTAAATCGCTCTTGTAAATTCACTTTTTACGCTTCCCGGTGCCGTGCCGGTTCCGTCGCGAAACTTCGACGAGTCATAACTTCTTCGTTATAACTCGGATTTCGGCGTTCTTTATATGTACGGAAATCTTGTGACATATACTACAACTTGGTTCAAATTATTTATTCTAAATAATATTTTGTCAAAAAGTCATTTTCGACCCCTATTATCTCTAAATTGACTAGCCCGGATCTACGGGCGTTACAATTACCAACATATCATAATAGTATTATACTTTCCAAATTACCAAAATTAAAAAAATACAAACATATCTAACTATAACCAACATAACATTATAGCATTCTACTTTCCAAAATTACTAAACTACAAAATATTAACATATCAAACCATAACCAACATATCATTATAGAATTCTACTTTCCAAAAAATACCAAACTACAAATATCAACATATCAAACCATAACCAACATTTTATTATAGCATTCTACTTTCCAAAAATTACCAAACAACAAAATATCAACATATCAAACCATAACCAACATATCATTATAACATTCTACTTTCCATTATAACATTGTACTATATACTAAACAAACAATTACCAACATATCATTATAGCATCCTACATTTTTTTTCTCTTTTCCATTATAGCATTATACTTGTCAACTTAAACTAACAATTACATGTGATTGTGGTGGTTCTTATGTTATCGGTTGTTCCTAATTGTACATAGACAACAACCGTAGGAGGTTTACACCCAATGCCTCTAATATGTCCGTGTCGAACACCCAATATTCTTTCAAAACATTTTCTTGTATCACTTGGTGTTAGATTGCTTGCTGCAAAGGAAGCTTGGGTTTGATGATTGATCTCCTGGACTAAACCATTTTGTATTTTCAAAAAATGATAAACATCATAAAAATTAGATTACTAAATACCCTTGACGATATAAACACTTATATGAAAATACAAATTAACTACTTACGTATTGTTGTTTGAGTACAAGACTATAAAATACCCCTTGGCGATTGGAATTAGCCTTATGGAATGTTTCGATTCGAGTGATATCCTATTTAACATTAAAACTTAGATTAACTATACTTTAAATAAACATTTAAATATTTCATTACTTACTTCTTTGAAACATGCATTGTTGTACGAGATCGACCCCCCTCTATTTACAATTAGTTTTTTTGCACGGACTTCTGTGTTTGACACTGAACGCCTTAAAATTCGGTCGATTAAAAATGTTCGACTGCCTTCGCCCAATTTTCAGATGACATACTGTTTGGACGGGAGGCTTGTTTAGTGCCATTGGGATGTATGCAGGCCCCCTGATTTGCTTTAAATAAGAATGGGCTTTATTTTTTCGGCCTCTGTAAACTTTTGCAAGACTCGAATAAATGCTCCACAACAATTGTGTATGCTCTGGATCCAAGTTAACCTTATCCAAATAAACTTACTATACAAATACAAAAAAGTTAGTTAATTAAAAAACAATCTGTGACATCCTCAAACCGGAACGGTGGAAACGTTCGGGGACGGAGGACGTCATGTACAGTATCACAACAATTGCATAAGAGTAATCAAGAAAACACAACCATTACATTGATAAAATATAGTATTTACATCTGTTTAATACATAGTTTGTATGACATACGCGACTCTAAAAGCCCCGTCTTCTCAAAAACCTGTGGATGTACCTGTCTACGGTTCCCTGAGAATACAAGTGGTTTTGAAAGTGTATCAACATTTAATTTTTTGAGTTCATAAGTATGTATTTGAGATGGAAAGCTTGTCTTTGTTCTTTGAAAATGTTATAGTGTACTTCCAATAAATCCAATATTTTCTTTAGTGAATGAAATGTAGTCTTAGGCCTTAAGACCAAAATGTATGTAGTTACTATATTCTGAAATAGTAAACTGTACTTTGAAATAGTGAACTATAGTCTTGTTAATAATTAAAACTATGTCATGAATGTTTCTTGAAATTGTATGATGTACTAGTGTACTCTGAAATAGAAAGTAGTGTACTGTAGTAGTGTCTGTAGTAGTGTTTGTATGAAAACCTTATTGTTGAGTGCCCGGAACCCACCAGCTGTAGTTTAAAATAGTGTGTTCTAATTTCATTATTTTAAAATAAAACTCTTTGAAGTAGTGTTAATCCCGTAAACAAATGTTTTAGTTAATACTATTATGAGTTTAATATAACCATGCTTGATATGACCTAGTGGCCTCTACGGCGTTCTTCAGGTGTCAGAAATGTTATGACAGTTGTCACCCAGGCCTGCCCTAGCTGTTGCAAGCAGCTCAGGTGCGGGATTGTCAGTCCCGTATAGATCTATACACAAATTCACGCTCTCCCTCTAGGAGACTCTGGTTATAATTTTTAGGACTTAGAGCAGTACCCTGGTAGGTACCCAAAAGTAGTTTCTCACAACTCTGTATTATCTAGTTTACGTGTAGTGTAGTAGTGTTCTCTTGTACTTGAAACTATATGTATTACCTTGTAGTAGTGTACTTTGTAATGTAAAACAATTATACTTAAATAATTATTTTAGTAGTGTATCCTTGAATTAGTGAAATAGTGTAGTGTACCATAAACTATACCTATTATAATTTATATACTTGTTTCTGTATAGTGTTCCTTGAACTTGTAAAATAGTGTAGTGTTTCCCAAACTATACCTATTATAGTTTAAATGTATGTTATTGTATTGTTTATTGAGCTTAGCAAAATAGTGTAGCATTCCCCAAACTATACATATTATAGTTTGATATATGTTCTGTAATGAATTGAAAACCTTGCAATTTAATAGTGTGTATAAATCGGAAATACAAGATTTGTGAAATCACCCTTTTGCTCAACATTTACAAAAGGGTTAATAATATAATAAAATATATTTGATACAATGCAGTAGTTAAAACGGTTTTGAAGTAATTGCAAGTAATTTGAAATCGTTTGAAATCCTTTGTATGCAACACAAGATTCCTTATATTTTACTTGTATCGCCCCCCCTAAAAACATTGAAAAATAGTGAAATCGTAGGGTATGAACTCAACCTCTAGTGCGTGTTAGAGTTTGGATATCGGAACGGTAGAGATGATCATCGGGCTAACGATGGATATAATGGTTTCCTAATAATATTTAAACAGATAATTGTATTTAAATTAGCGAAATAATTTATTAAAGTATTAGACAACACTTTAATTTATGTAAGGAATTTCTTACAAAAATTATCGAGAATTGTTTGATGTGTTGATAAGTGTTTTCGTTCAGCCCTTCACCGAAATCTCTTGATTTTGGTCTTAAAACCTCAACCGATAACCAGGTTCTCGGTCTTAAGGTGTTCTTGGTTAGAAACAGTTTCCTGGTCCAAGGTGTTTTCGGTCAGCTTGAAGATTTGAAGATTGTTCTGGGTGTTGGTAAAAATTATGAAGATTTGAAGGATTTTTCTTGAAGATATGAAGATTCTTGTATGATACTTGAGAGCAAAAAGAGTGTGTTTTCGGTTGAAAAATGAGAAATGACTATGTTTTCGAGTGAAAACATATATATCGGGTGGTTTTCAGCCGGAAAGGAGATTTCGGTCCGAGGAGTTTTGCGGTATGAGGGTTTTTGGCCAAAAAAGGGTTTTCAGTCCGCGGTTTCTCGGTTCCGAAGGGAAAAATTTTGATTTTGAGGTGTACTTTATTCCAAATACTTATATAAAAACATCATTTACATAATTTAAGTCGTATTTAACCTTTATGATCTTAACAAAATCAACAAATTTCTAATTTTATTCAAAGGGTTTGACTTTTATTGACTTGAAAATGACGGGTTGTTACATTATCCCCCGTTAGAGGGAATTTTGTCCCAAAATTCTTTCTATAGTGAATACTATATGGACTAGGGAAAAAGATGTGGGGTACTTTTGTTGCATTTGATCTTCTCACTCCCAAGTGAATTCAGGTCCCTGCTTGGCATTCCAACGAACCTTCACTATTGGTATGTGACTTTGTTTCGTTCATTTGACTTCCATATCCATGATTTCTACTGGTTCTTTAACAAAGTTAAGACTATCGTTTATCTCGATTTCATCGAGTGAATTACAAGAGTCTCATCGGATAGACACTTATTTAGGTTTGACACGTGGAAGACAGAGTGTACGTTGTTAAGTTCTTGTGGTAGACGGAATTTGTAAGCTACTGGGCCAATTCTACAGAGAATCTCAAATGGACCAATGTACCTTGGATTTAGTTTTCCATGCTTTCTGAAGCATATCATCCCTTCCAGGGTGAGACCTTCAATAGAACGTGGTCCCTAACCTGGAATTCTAGGGGTTTTTGTCTCTTATCTGCGTAGCTCTTTTGTCTATCCTAGAGGCTTTCAGTCGTTCTGGATTTGGACGATCTTTTTTGTGGTTTC